TACTGCACATTACTACGTCGTTTACGAGAGGAAATAAAAGAAAAACGTCGAGGAATGCTCAGAAGAAAAGTCCTGTTTCAAAAACGGTGTTTGAATCACAACTGTGGCTTTGAACTGTTACCGCATCCGCCGTATTCACTTGATCTGGCACCATCAGACTTCTTTCTGTTCCCTAACCTAAAAAAGCACTTGGGAGGTCAAAGATTTTCGACAAACGACAAGGTCAAAGCAGCTGTAGATACATATTTTGACGCTAAGGAAGAATCATTTTTTTTTCAACGGTCTAAATGCTTGGAAGGGGAGGTGGCAAAAGTGTATTGAACTTGATGGTGATTATGTAGAAAAATAAAAATATTACTGATTTAGTATGTGTTTATTTTCTTGGTTAGGCCGAGTACTTTTCAATCCACCCTCGTAGATGTTTCTAATAAACTTTAAACTTCTATCAACGAAACTTTGTGGAGAAAAATATGTTACATTACCGCTAGTCATTGTATCATTCAATCTCTTGCTCGATAAAATTGAATCCATGGTAAAACAATTAAATGAGAAACCTAACCGATCCGAAGTGGATGAAAGGCTCATTCTGGGTTTTCAAGCAGCTCGAGACAAAATGCTTAAACATTATAAAAAGAGCAACTGGATTTATTGTACCTCTTTAATTTTAGACCCAAGGCATAAGACTCAGACTTTTGACATGACAATGACAATTATGGGGGAAGCAAATTAAAACAGAAAGCCTGCGCAAATTTAATGAACTTTATAAAGAATATAAAAGTTTACACTCAGTGAATACATCTCTAGAATCACCAAGGAATGAAAAGAAAGTATGTGAATATGATGAAGATGAAGACGTAATAGACTTTGAGAAATTGTATGCATGTCCCTCGACGTCATCTGGATCTGGATCTTTTCATCAAGGCTTAGTTATAGACGAGTTGGAGGAGTACCTAAGTAAACCCAGAGCCGCCAGTTCTGTGTTCTTAGAGTGGTGGAGGACGCATGAGACAGAATATCCGACTTTATCGAAGATGGCCCGTGATTTTCTTTCAATACCTGCAACTTCAGTACCTGCTGAGAGATTATTTTCTAAAGTATCATTAGTAATTAGAAAACATAGAAATAGGTTAAGTGATGAGTCAACCAGATGGTTACTTTGTATTAATTCTTGGTCAAAAGAATTAATATAAGGTAACAGTAATGTCAAAGTTGTTGTGTACTGTTATGTAATTTAATTTGTATTGTATTTTATTTTTTTTATTTAAATAAATGGTAAATTGTATAACTCTTTTATTCCATTTCATATAAGGGTCTATCAATCTCTTTCTAGACAGATAATGTTCTTTAGAATACAGTCAATTTAATGTCATTAATTTGTTTTTTATATGTTTTGACTAAGTTTTAGCTCATGTAAGCTTATTAAATGTAAACGTTTTTTAAGAAACAGACTAACTCCCGTGGCCGTGAGACTTGGTAGACAGCTCAGTTGGTTAGAGCATCGGCACGGATCGCTTAGGTCGTGGGTTCAAACCCCACCCGGTATTAGTTGATTTTTCGAATTTCTCATTAAATGTTTAGACATTTATTAATTTGGTTGGTCTTTCCATGGCTATGTTAATTCAAGTTCAAAATGTGCCTACTCTGTTAAGTTGTTCTAAGATCGCAAGTAACGTTTAATAAATAACAATAGGCTAATAGGTAATTGCGAGACTTGCGAGACTCTTGCTGCAAGACCAAGACCAAGAACAAGACTGAGAGCGCAATACCAAGACCAAGAACAAGACCAGGTGTATTGGCGCAAGACCAAGACCAAGACTGGCTAAGTCTCGTCTTGTTCTTGCATTTGGGCAACACTATCCGAACTAGACGAGCGCTCGTGCTGTATTGAACGCAGAGGGCCGGCGCAGTGAAATATATGGTGCTTTTATTTAGTTAATTAAAAAATAATAGTAACGATTTAAAAAGTAAAAATCATAGTAAAGTTTAAGAAAATGTTGATTTTGGTATAAATATAAATTTTACGTCAAAATGATGTAGAACTTTGGATATATTGGGGTTTGTATCGAAGCTTTTTTGGTAGTTAATTGAATTATGCCGATTTTATTCCCTTACGTGAAAGGCATATAACGATAATGTATTTTATAATTATTAAAGTAAAGGATATTTGTGAGATAAAAATATTTTTTTCGATGGTCGATATTCAATAGAATCTACAAATTAGAGCTCCCAAATCATGTATCTCTGAGTTTTGGCCTAAACATGCATCGGGAGAATGATTATTAGATTATTACTAAATAAATAAATAAGTTAAATAGCAACGATATGCAACGTAAGGTAAAATTAAATACAGAAACGAGATTCTCAAAATTACTTACAAACGTTACCGTAATTTTTATAATTGCCTGATTAACAAACTAAAACGTAACTACGGCAAAAAACAACTAGAACTAGCTATTAGAAACCCAAAAAACTATGGCAGACGATCGATTATCTTACTCAACACAACCAGCCAAAGTCTCAAGCAAGAATCTGAAACTTTTGAAATTAACTTTATCCTTTACTTTACTTATTAGGATTATCTGCTGACACAGTTAACAACAACTATTTTGCTACGATAGGGCAACAGTTAGCAGAGGATTTTATTAAAAGCACAACGTAACAAGCTACTGATTCTCACATTAAACAAATACTCAAATTTCATCTTTTGTTATTTTTGACACCAACTGTGAAGAGATATATAGTCTGCTCATGTCCATGAAATCAGACAGTGCCCTGGGTATGCCATATTGTCATACCCAGGGGCACTGTCTGACCAGCTCACGTTTTAAAAAGCGCTCATAAAGGGGTAATAACCAATTCTTGTTCACCTAGCTAATCTTTGTTTTGAACAAGGTGTCTTCCCGTCGGTTCTTAAGCAGGCTATTATCACACCTGTATACAAAAGAGGTGACAAATTCAATCCTTCAAATTATAGACCCATTTCGACGATATCTGTAATAGCTTAATAAAGCTTTTTTCTAAATTTAATACACTTTCACCATCATAATTCGGCTTCCGTCAGAATTTATCTACGGAAGACGCAATTATTGCACTGACTTCCCTTACGGTAAACCATGTTGATTCCGGAAGAAAATGTCTAGCTGTCTTCCTAGATTTAAAAAGGCGTTCGACACAGTTTCCGTGCCTATTCTAGTACAAAACCTTCATGATATTGGTATTAGAGGTATACCGCTAAAACTACTTGGTTACTATCTCAGCAATCGTAAAACTCGGGTCAAAATTGGCTCAATTGCTAGCTCTGAGTTTACTGTCACGTATGGCGTCCCGCAGGGCAGTGTGTTGGGTCCCACGTTGTTCTTGGCCTACATCAATAACTTGTGTAATATGCAGATAGAGGGTGGTGACATCTTCTCATATGCGGATGAGACAGCTGTTGTTTTCTCTGCTGATAATTGGGAGCAACTTAAAAATCGTGTGGAGACTGGCTTAATGAAATTTGCATCCTGGTTAAACAAAAACCTACTCACTTTAAATGTACTTAAAACTAATTATATATGTACCAAATACAAAAACGCGCAGCCTCCAGATAACTTTAATATTAAACTACATTATTGTAATAATCACTTGGTCTCGGTATGTACTTGCCCCGAGTTAAAAAAAATTTAATACGAGATACCATGGAGCCATGTTGCATCAGCGGTTGTCCTGGCATTATATAGTTACACATTAGCAGAGTTAGGAAACTAATCTGGTCATTTAAGACCCTGCGACACGTAGCTCGAATGAGCCTTCTACGTAAAATCTACTGCGCAATTGCTGAATCCGTTATCACCTACTGCATATCAGTTTGGGAAGGTGCGACTAAAACTAGTTTCTTAAATCTGGAAGGAGCACAACGGGCTCAGATCACCAATGGATACCTTATATTTAAAAAGCGGTATCTTATCGGTAAGAAAGCTGTACCTACTACGTACTGTCACGAGAAAACACAAATCAATTTACGACGACGTGGCAATACAACATCCAATCAGCTTACATATATAATAGACTTAATAAGAAACTAAATACTTACCCAATAACATATCTTCAATGTAAAAAACACTAGAGAAATAGTTAATTGCAAAAAAATATGAAGTAATTGAGAGATCTAAATCTAAATATTTTGCTTTCTTGCCCATATATATATAAAGTAAACAAAATTGTTCATATATACTATATGAATAAGCATGACTGCAACATTGCCCTCAGAAAATGGCTTCAACTAAAGTCTTATGAAGAAACGGAGAATTGTTAACAGTACTTGCATAAGTGTTCATAGATGTCAATTTGTTACTTCTCTGCTAAATTTTTTTTTCATCTGTGCATGTCTTTTAAATTCTAAGGATCTATATTTATATTTTTTTTCTCTTTTTGTGTCACTTGTATTATTTCATTATATTTTGTGTATCTTATTTAAGGTTTTATGTAAGTGGGAAGAGCTTTGCTTAACCTAAAACACAGGGTTTACCCTAACTTGAAGCAAGTTCAAAAACAAATAAAGCATTGTTTGACTACTACTCTGTATCACTTTCTATCTGAATAAATTATTATTATTATTATTATTATCATTCATCACTCATAAGTGTAACTGAGTGCTATGCAACCTTTGATGACAGAGAAAGTTATTCATTAAACAATGATAACTTCCGTTCCCTAAGCACAGTCGTAGGGCTAATAAACCAATGTTATTCCACACAATAAAAATAATTTACTAGGGTACATATTCAATACATACATAACGCACGCACGCACGCACGCACGCACTCATAACTCAATCGTCCAGACACACCTACTATCTAAAGCCTAAAAATTGTAGTTTTTATCTTTTCACAAAATATTGACCCTTCGTAAATCTTTACAAATGGCAACACTAGGCCATTGTCACCATGTAGTCAGTCAAATGCATTTTGATGAAATAGCGTTTAGTCGAAAACTTTGATTTATATTGTACACAGCTGTACCTGGGAATGCAAGGACGCGGAGGGAGTGTGGGTTTCACACTGATAACTTCATACTCATCACTCTTTGTTGTTGTAGTAGCATCTTCCATCGCACTCATACTCTTTGTCAGCAAGTCTGCTACCTCCTCTGACATATCCCTCTTGTCGTTCATTGCTTCATTGCCATTGTATACTGAAATTTGAAGGGAAGCATCTAAATGGCCTAAGAGTGTAATAAGTAAAATAATTCAGGCTTTTTTCTATCTTTCCATCCATCCATTACAGCCTATAAAGTCAACTTCTGTATATAGGCCTCCCTCATAGATCGCCGATGGAGGGATATTGCCATAGTTGTTGAATCGAACGAACAATATCATATTTAACTATCACTTACAAAGTCTGATGGGACAGCATTCCGACACGGATTGAAGAGCCAACTTCCTGACTCCGAGCTAGTAATGTGAATTTCTTGATAGAAAAATCCAATACCTGATTGAATTGAAATTGAATGGATTCGAATCTGGGATCACATAATCAGCAGTCGCACTTACAGACAGACAAACAAAGCAATATATATAAATATATATATATATATATATATATACATATACATACATAAACACTCACGCCTGTCACCCAGAGGGGTAGGCAGAGACTACAGACTTCCATTTGGCACGATCCTGACACACCTCTCTCGCCTCCTTCACATCCATACACCTCCGCATACATGCTCGTCGGTTAAGGGTACTCCTAATTTGGCCCGTTTTCAATAAATCGCCAATTTGGTCGATAAATTTTCGCCTAGGACGTCCCTTTCCGACTCTGCCATTCACTTCTGCAACATAAATTTTCTTTGTCACTCTTTCCTCATTCATTCTTTCCACATGACCAAACCACCGAAGCATTCCTTTCTTAATCCTGGTCACAACATCATCTTGCAAACCACACTCTTCTCTTATTACACAATTTCTTACCCTGTCATTAAGATTCAGCCCTAACATACTCCTTAACGACCGCATTTCTACTGCGTTCATTCTACTCTCGTGCTTCTTCTGCCACACCCAACTTTCACTACCATATGTTAAAGTAGGGACCAACACAGCATTGTGAATTGCCATACGTGCCTTTTTCGACACATTTTGACTCTTCACAATAGAGTGCAGGGCCCCATTTACTCTATTTCCCGCATTCACTCGTCGTTCTATATCCTTATCATATCTCCCATCCCTGCTAAATACGCAGCCCAAATATACAAACTCGTCTACTTGCTCGATCAACTCCCCTTCTATTCTTATTTCACAAATCGTTTTACTTTCTTCTCTTTCAAAAACCATAACCTTCGTCTTACTTGCGTTCACTTTCATACCCCTTTCTTTTAATGATCTGTTCATTAATGTAACCATCATTTGCAACTCGGCCGCCGACGACGCAAGTATAACTTGATCATCGGCGTACAAAAGGCATTTGACGGTTAACTCACCCATTCTTAATCCGCATTCTTCAACTTTCAAATTTTGCAAACAACTGTCCATAAATAGGTTGAACAGCCACGGGGAAGCTACACAGCCCTGTCTGACACCTTTATGGATGTCAAACCAGTCCGAGTAGACCCCGTTGATCCTAACACAAGCACTAGAGTCCCTATAAAGGGACTCCAATGCCCGTATCAAGCCAGCGCTCAACCCAAATGAGTTCAGTGTTTGCCATAGCACATCCCTATTCACTCTGTCATAGGCCTTTTCCAAGTCCATGAACGCACAAAAAACCTTTTGGTTTTTGGCCAAAAACTTCTCCGCGATCATGCGCATGGAAAAGACTTGATCTGTACATCCCATTCCCTTTCTAAATCCTGCTTGCACATCCCAAATTTTTCCATCAGTTTCTTTCATGACCCTTTCAATCAGTACCTTAGCATACAGTTTTCCCACAATGCTAAGAAGGCTGATGCCACGGTAGTTTTTACAGTCCTGCTGCGACCCTTTTCCCTTATATACTGGGACTATCACGGCTTTGCACCAGTCTACCGGTACCCGCTTCAGTTCCCAGCATAAATTAAACAAGGTGTGCAGCAGGCCTGCCACCACTTCCTCTCCAGCCCTTAGCATTTCGAGTGAAACTCTATCATATCCGGCAGCCTTACCTGCTTTCATGCTTTTCATTGCTTTCATTATTTCACCTACACTAATCTCGCTACCTCTTTCCTCTTCCTTCGGAATTTCTACTTCACTTAGTACACACGTTGTCTCCTCACTCATAAACACGCTTTCAAAATATTCCTTCCATCTCTTTAAACTCAAAACTTCATCATTCAGAATATAGCCATTCTCGTCTCTTATAGCATTCATCATAGGCTGTTTTGAATGTCCCCTGGCAGTTCTTACAAGTTTCCAGAACATTTTAATATTTGCCTGGAAATTATCCGATATTCTTCTATCATTCTTATCCGTTCTTTCTTGCTTTTTTCTTTCAACTACTTCTTTTACTCTCTTATTAAGATGTCTAAAGACTGCCTTTTTTCTTTCAATATCATCATTCGTACCGCTAGAATTACCAGCCTTTGTTGCTAGTAAATCTAGCCATGCTCTCTTCTTTGCTTCAACTTCCATACGTACCTCATCATCCCACCATAACGTATTATTTTTCCTTTCATTCTTTCTCTTACTAACACCACATACTTCGGTAGCTGCATCCACTAAACCTTTCTTTACATTTTGCCATACATTCTCCAAGTCTAACTCCTTCATACATAATTCATCCAAACCACTTATATTTTCTTTCAGTCTACATTTGAACTTCTTTTTCTCACCTTCATCTTGTAACCTTTCTGTTCTAATACGCTGTAACGCAGTGGTAGACACAGATGACCGATGGCGCCAACGCCTGAATAGACCATTAATTCGGCATAGAACCAAATAATGATCCGTTCCTACGTTAGAACCCCGGTAAACCCTTGTGCCCAACCCAACTGCGCCCCTCAATCTTTCATCCACAATTATTAAATCTATCATGCTTCTATCGTCACCTCTTTCCCAAGTATACATGTGAATCCTCTTGTGGCGAAAGCAAGTGTTCGTCACAAAAAGATTCTTTTCCATACATACGGTGAGGAGACTTTCACCATTCTCATTTATACTTTCATCACCAAACGTTCCCAATATCCTTTCATAACCAAGCCTCCTCACCCCAACCCTTCCATTAAAATCTCCTAGCATAATAATATTTTCATTTCCCTTACACTCCATTAACACCATCCTTACCATTTCCCAAAACTGCTCTCGGATATAAGTGGGCTTAGACATGTCTGGGGCGTAGACCCCTAACACAAACAACTTCTTTAAGCCCACTTTCATTCGTATCCACAGCAGTCTTGGGCTTACACATTCATACTCTTTCACACATTGGCCCATTTTTTCTGAAAGGATGATATTTACTCCCTGGCATGGCCACTCGGTCTCGTCTACACCAGCCCAGTATGCGGTATGCATGCCACGTGTAGTGACATCCTTTCCTTTCCTTTTCGTCTCATTTACACATAACACATCTATTCCTCTATCATTCATCATATCGCATACTTCATCCATTTTATCATTCATTGCCCCACATACATTCAACGTAGCCAGACGGACCTCTGCAATCCACTTTTCGCCTCTCCGGGAGACAGAACGTGACGGGTGGCGAACCTCGTCGCCGGTTTTCCTCCCGGAGATTCTTCGCACCCCTGCCCCATTAAAGGGGCGCCGGGAACTCGGGGCCATTTCTATTATATTGTTCCTCATGGTGCGGATAAAGGGTGGTATATTTTACGCCTCTACCAGGGCGTGGAGCCGAGTCTGTGCTATCGGCTTGTCGCTCATTTAGCACCACCCGGGGGACACGTGTAGGGTGGGCCTAGGAATAGGTGGTCAGAGCCTACGGACGCGAGCGACTTATCCCCCTATATATATATATATATATATATATATATATATATATATATATATAACACGTAACATAATTAACGCACTTTGAGAAAGTAGTTTGTTCAGAATCGTTTACTGAATCGATTCCTATCATTTTTAATATAGGTAATTTTTTATCCCAAAAATAATTAAAACTACGTAAATACAGTCACACTAAATCTGTACAGTCAAAACAAACTGAAATGGACCGTAACTTAAGGCAATAAGACTTTTAAGAGTGCGGTTTTATTTGTATTATTACTAATTCTGTCATTCAATAAAAATAAAGAAAAATGAACTTTATTTCAAGCACGTTAAAGTCTTCGCGTTCGTGGATTTGTACTGTGACCACAACATTCTTCCGTAATTAGTATAACTAATTTCATAAATAATCAGTGCATAAAACTAAAAAAAGTTTAACTAAAAATTCAGTGTATGTATTATTATTATAACATAATAATATACTAATTAGGGTGTCTGAGGGTGTGCGTTAATTACGTTACACACACACACATATATATATATATATATATATATATATATATATATATATATATATATGTCTTTTCATATCTTGAGTTCAAATACTAAAAATGAAGTAAGAAAGAAAGCTTTAAAAATATTATGATACTACAGTCTATATATTACCAATATCAGTGAGCTTTGAAAATGCCTCCATTGTAGTTTCGTAAGGTCTTTGCCTCAAATTAGACACGAAACCCCACACTACATCAGTTGGGTTCTCAGTAAATATATCCAATTCTGCAAATGATTTGTTTAACACCTGAGTCTCTGTATTAGACTCTACAACAATATATAATTTCTTATCGTGCCGTGATTTTGCAGTTTTTATGTGACTCTTGAGATTAGCTAAAAATATTTCGGCATTCCCATGCTGGAAGTATAATGTCATCTGCCAAACGTGTTTTGTGGTGAATATCATTTGCTGGTTGTTACGAGATATCCGGAAGTTTTCGAGGTCATCTAAAGGTATTTTGATAATACGAGCACGGGCTGTTGCATAATCCGATGTCATGTTGCCGCTTAAGGTTCGTTGACGACGAGCTGGAAACATTGTTAGATTTTTCACTAAGTCAATAGAGATCACAGGAATGACTTAGTAAAAAAGATACAGAAACAATTATATTATTGAGTTTAGGTAGATGTGATTGGTTTAAATGTTGTAAATGTTTGGACCAAGTGATTAATAGGGCATTATTCATTATGTCCAGACAGAAAAATGCCAATATAAGTAGATGTGATAAAAATTGAAATAATTTAATTCACCAGGCTTTATGAGTAAAGTTTATTACTTATTGGGCAGAGCAATAAAAAGATAGATAAGGTTTATGCAATGTGATAAATAACGAAGTTGTATTCACATTAATAATTATCAATATAGTATATATAATGTATAGATACATGTAAGTGTCTATGGGCCACAGCATCCACTTACCATCAGGTGGACTGTGTGCTAGTTTGTCACCCTATTCTATAAAAAATATATATAATTTTTATATATTAACTGGGAATTATTTTTTATTTTATTTATTTATTATTCAGTGCAATAGAGCCCTCATTAATCACTTCACCCACAGCTGGGTCTCCTCTCATATCTGATAACATTTTAGAGCAAGGAAATGCCTGCCATGTTGCCTTAATATTTTAGGTTTTTTCCCTTACTGCCAAGCATGGAAATCATCACTAAAAATTACAATTTACAATGTTATTTGTGCCGGCGGGAATCAAACCGGTGTAATTTATCGAATACTAAAAAAAATACAGTGAGCACTTAGTCCCTGAGCTACTATGGGCTCATTATGTAATAGCAATAATTTAAAAAAAAAAAACATTTTACTAAAGTAAGACATTTTCTTTATTTAATCAATTCACGCCAACATAAGAAGCTGTTACTAAATAGTTAAGACATGCAATTATAATTTTACCATATTTGTAACAGGTGCATCCATGCCTTATAACCCTTCGTTCCAGACAAGAGCAAGTGCTTCCCTGTGCCTTCCTGTTCTCAAAAACCTCTCTCCATATGTGAGAGGCATATGCTAGAAGGTCCCCCTAGCAACCATTGTCGCTATGGAGGACATTCTGTTCTAAGTATGCCATGAGGTGGGTGTTCGGTGTACGCTCCACAATCTTACATAAGGAGAAGCATAGGATCTTTTGGGCACAGGTTAACTTCTAAAATTTGGCACTATTCCAGTCTAAAATAAAAGGCAGATAAAGCATCTTAACACAAAAGACAACTTAACTATGTATATATAGGCAATATACCACTTTGCAGTTTTGTTCATGTCTAGTTCATTCTATGTTTCTAACCTACTGACCAATTGCTCTCATATAATTATTTTTTACAAGCAAAAATATATATATGAAGACGATTGTCAACAATAATAATCTTTGAAAATTAAAAAATTAAAGTAGGAATATCAAAGAAAATTGTGTGACTTTGTGATTGGGTGATTCTTTGACAATATAAGAAATAAGTTTATAAAATATTCTAGGAAAGGACTGATCTATAATGGTAGCCAAAAGTGGCAACATTTTGACTGCCATTATAGCCTTTAATCTCCAAGAGGGTAAGCAGATACCAAAGAGCAGCGAGCGAGGGATAGGACCATGTCCGGCCATAAAATATAGATTTACATGGATGGTGAAAGAAGGGTTAGGGTTCTAGCTATGAAAGAAGTGTTTGGTTGCTAATCCATCATATACACAATCCCAAACCCAATCATTTTTATTGAAACCAATAAATTATAATTATAATAAGTTATTTTATTGTAATAGTTGAATTGTCATTAAACACCTAGCCCAATACTCACCAATTGTATTGACCACAGCCCATTCCTGGTCTTGAGTGTCGGAATCAATAGTGATCAAGTCATTAGGTCTCCACTCAATGCATTTTGTACCATCAGGGTTTTGAACAATGCAAAGCATTCCAATTGAGTTGAGTTCATTAATTGGAATAATTGAGTTGAGTTCATTAATTGAACACCTACTACAGGCTTTGAGGAGAACACCATCTTGGGTGAAGAGATCCTGAAAACAGGACCAATCAAAAACCAATATTGCAACATGCTTATCGAGTAGGTAAAATTTTATATGTTAGAAAGTTTGGTAAATACAAATTACAAGGATTAATTTTTATTATGTTTATTTAATTATTATATATACACCGTAGTTCATATATTATATTATGTTCATCATCATCATCATCATCATCATCATCACAGCCCTTCACAAGTCCACTGCTGAACATAGGCCTCCCCCAAGTAATGCCACAAAGCACGGTCCTGAGCCACCTGCATCCATCGACTCCCTGCATATCTTACCAGGTCGTCACTCCATCTAGTGGGGGGTCGCCCTACACTACGCCTACCGGTACGAGGCTGCCACTCAAGAACCTTTCTTCCCCATCGGTTATCGGTTCTTCGAGCTATATGGCCGGCTAATTGCAACTTCAGCTTACTAATCCGTTGGGCTATGTCGGTCACTCTGGTTTTACTGCGGATATCCTCATTTCTGAGTCTATCACGCAGAGAAACTCCGAGCATAGCCCTCTCCATAGCTCGCTGAGCAACCTTGAGCGTCCTCATACAGCCAGCAGTGAAGGACCACGTTTCTGATCCGTAAGTCATCACTGGCAACACGCACTGGTTGTACACTTTAGTTTTCAGAGATTGAGGTATACCTGACGAGAAGATGTGTCGTAATTTCCCGAACGCTGCCCAGCCGAGTTGAATCTGTCGATTGACCTCTCGGTCGAAGTTGGACTTACCTAGTCGGACTATTTGTCCCAGGTAAACGTACTCGTCAACAACTTCGAGCATAGTGCTCCCAACAACTACCGGCATAGGTGTGACATGGAACTTAAACATGATCTTTGTTTTGTCCATGTTCATCTTAAGACCTATCCGTTGGGAGGCACCATTGAGGTCATTGAGCATAGTGCTTAAGTCCTCCAGCGATTCTGCCATAAGGACTATATCGTCGGCAAATCGAAGGTGAGTGATGTACTCGCCATTGATGTTAATACCGTATCCTTTCCAGTCCTATCCAGTATTATATTCATATAAATATCTATATATTAATATGTGAAGAGGAAACCTTGTACCCCTTTTTAAGCATATTGCGGACATGCATGAGATTCGGCATAATTAATTTAAATGGAAAAAGGGTATAGAAAGTTAAAATCTATATATATGTTTTTACAAATACATAACTTAAAACATTCATTATTTATGTTAATACTGTCATTGTCAATTATGAAACACATCTATGTTGACAGTTGTACAGAGTAGACATTGTTGGCAAAAATTTTAAAAGCATTGTCAACTATACAACATGTAACAAAAACCCTGTAGTTCCCGTAAAGTGTGTTAACAAAATCAGTATTGAAATTTATAGAAATATGTTTTTACAGAAAACTCGACAGTAAAAAATATTTATTTAATTACTTATTTAATTACATTAATAAAATTTTATTTGCTAATTCTACGTAGTTTTATAATCTCTAACTGACACGAAAATCGGTCGGTTGGGGTCTTTGACAATCTTCTTACTTACCGGACGATGCAGAGGTAATAAAATCACATACAATTTGCAAATTATATTTTATAAACACTGATTCTTCTAACGCACGTAACAGGAACCACAGTTTTTGTTACATATTGTAAAATTACTGACAGATTGATAAGTGTGCTGAGAATTTTGTGTGATTTCTAACTTAGAACAATAACATTTCTAATGTTCCTGTCTCTGATGTGTTTGTCAAGAAAAATAAGTGTTCATTTTATATATTAGATATCAGTGTTTTATATATTAATGTGCAGTCAAAATAATAAAATAATATATATATATATACTGAGAGTTGGAAGTGTAATATATAACTTGCTTAATATATAAATTTAAAAATTTAATAAATTACGGTCAAATTTCAACCACTGAGCGACCACTAGTTATTATTATACATCTAAATATTATAATTCCAAATGCCATCTCCACATGTAGGCATTGTACCCTGCTGATTGATTAAGATACATCCCTCTTAAATATATAAATATACATGTCTGTCCTATTTTTTTTATATAGAAGAGGGGGCAAACGAGTATGCGGCTCACCTGATGTTAAGTGACTACCGCCGCCCATGATCAACCGCAACACCAGGGGAATTGCAGGTGCATTGCCGGCCCTTTAGAAAGGAGTACGCTCTTTTCTTGAAGGTCCCCAGGTCGTATCGGTCCGGAAAAATCGCTGGTGGTAAACTATTCCACAGAGAGGTTGTACGCGGAAGAAAACTCTTCTTGAAACATACAGTGGTGGACCGCCAAGCATCCAGATGGTGTGGATGGTATCGGGACGTTTGCCTCGTAGTGCGTTCACGAAATTTGGCGGCTGGGATTAATCCGAACAATTCCTCAGAGCACTCTCCATGGTATATGCGAAAGAAAATGCAAAGAGATGCATCTCTTCGCAGTACCAGTGAATCGGGCCGATCGGAAAGCACTCGGTCGTCGACGATTCGAGCCGCTCTGCGCTGGATGCGGTCAAGTAGAAGGAGCTGGTACTGGGGAGCCCTAGCCCAGAGATGGGAACAGTATTCCATGTGCGGCCGAACCTGCACCTTGTAAAGTTGCAGGCGGTGTGCCGGCATGAAATACTGTCCCGCTCTGCTGAGCACGCCAAGCTTTTTAGAGGCCTATTTGGCCTTGAAACTGAGGAGATACGAAAAAGGGGTTCTTTTTAGCGGTTAACGCGCAAACTTGTGTCTTCTGGGGGTTAAACTGGACTAGATTTAGTCGCCCCCAATCCGAGACTCTGTTCAGCAAAGACACAAGTTTGTCCCGGCACTCGGAGACGTTTTCCCGAGAAATATTGGCTCGGCCGGTGTAAAGAGCATCACCAGTGCTGTCATCTGCATAGCAATGAATGTTACGGGTTTGCAACATATCATTGATATGCAGAAGAAACAGCGTTGGAGATAGCACGCAGCCTTGTTGAACACCAGCATTAACAGGCTTGACAATCGGAGCTTGCACCGTCTACAACGACCTTGATGCCCCGATCTGCAAGAAAGCTGGTGATCCAATCGCACAATTTCTCGGGAAGCCCATAGGAAGGGAGCTTCGAAAGAAGCGCTTTGTGCCAAACCCGATCGAAGGCCTTCGCAATGTACAAACTAACGGCCAATGCCTCCCCCTTGGACTCTACTGCCTCCGCCCATCTGTGAGTTAGGTAGACCAGAAGATCACCAGCTGACCGACCACGGCGAAAACCGTATTGGCGGTCTCTAATCAGCTGGTGATCCTCAAGGTACCTCATGAGCTGGCAGTTTACAATGGACTCCATTGTTTTGGAGAACAAGGAGGTGATGGCGATAGGCCGGTAGTTGGACGGGTCTGAGCGGTCGCCTTTTTTAGGGATCGGGTGGATGAATGCCGTTTTCCATGATTTTGGGACTACGCCTAGGGAATAGGAGTACCGGAAAAGACGCGTTAAAAGCGGTGCCAACTCTGGAGCACACGTCCTCAGCACAATTGGGGGGATTCCGTCGGGCCCACTCGACTTGTGGATGTCCAGGGAGAGGAGTGCTTTGCGAACCGAGCGCTGTGTGAACTGCACTTTCGGCATGGAGCACTCACACCGCGAGATGGTCGGCGGCGTACTCCCCCCGTCATCGAGAGTCGAGTTGGACGCAAAGAGAGAGCCTAAAAGATCGGCTTTCTCCTTTGCGGTATGGGCCAGTGAGTCGTCCTCCCTTATTGCTTTGAGAAAGCCAAAGGCGACAAAGATGTGCAGCTTTTGCCAGTGCAGTAGTAACAAATGTGGAGAAGAGCAAGGATGAAATGAATTTGTTATGCAAGATCAGGGGAGCTGCACTTCTGCTGCATGATAATGAAATTTACTCCAAATACATGTGAAATCCTGAATCTCAGAATGAGGAGGTCTGAGCCCAGCAGTAGGACATATTATATAGGCTGTAAATTAAACTTTTTAAACGTGCCGTGTAGTGGCGGTTGAGAATATCCACTACTCCATATCTTCCCGTGGGTGTCGTAAGAGGCGACAGAGGGAGACAGGCAGGAGATGGGCAGCAGCATCTTCCTAATAACAACATTAATATAATAAAAAACTGCGATTGCCAACCCGCTCGCCAAGCGTGGCAACTACGGCAAACATCCCCTCAAGAGTAACGGCGCAAACAAACGGCCCCCAGTCCCCGGCGGCCCCGCTATTCCTGGCTACGGTGGCGACCATGGTAACGGCGGGGCAGGGGGTGCTAAGAATCTCCGGTGGAGGTTCGGTTGCCACCTACGACGACTCGACCTGGCAACATATAACGAACGCATCCTGAGGACTGACGAGAAGATACTGGAGCTGGAAGAAGAGGTAGACAAGTTGCGCTGGAATATTACAGGATTATCCGAGGTCCGAAGAGAGGGGGAGGACACAGTGATTCTCGAATCCGGCAACTTGTTCTATCACCGGGAGGGCGACCATCTGTCCCAAAGAGGTGTCGGATTTATCGTCCACAAGTCTCTCGTCAACAATGTTGTAAAGATTGGGATTGTGTCGACGAGGGTCGCGTACCTGATACTCAGAATCACCAAACGGTATTCGCTGAAGGTCATACTGGTTTACGCACCAACCTCGGCACATCCCGATGAGGAAGTGGAGGAAATGTATGAGGATATTTCCAGAGCCATGCATTCCTCCAAAACCCATTACACGGTGTTGATGGGAGACTTCAATGCAAAACTAGGCACAAGAGAAAGCGGTGAGCTGAAGGTAGGGAAATTTGGAGTAGGGCAACGGAACCGAAGGGGCCAGCAGCCGGCCGACTTTATGGAGAAAGAGGGACTCTTTATGATGAACTCTTTCTTCCAGAAGCGGCCTCACACGACCAGACGCCAACTGTTCAGTGATGTCTCAGTGAT